CCCCACTCTTTCCGTAGCGTTGGTCTAAGTCCTCGATGCGGAGCGAAAGGAACCAGAGTGAATAGCCAGCCGTAATGGCGCTGCCATATGGCCTCGGTCACGTGGTTCGTGACGTAAGGGAAAAGAATCTTGGGGTCTCTCCGTCATTGGCAGAATCGCTGATTAATGCCTACAGTTCAAAGTAGTCATTTTGACTGACCGGAGTCTATGGTGGGTATGAACTACCTGTATGTGAATAGGCGGGTTCGGAGAACCCTCTGCCCAACTGATGGCCATTTTACATTAGGTGATTATATCCAATACGATCAACTGATGGCCATTTTACATTTGGTCATGTTATTGAATATGGCTAATTGGTGGATATTTTACATTTGGCTATTGTATTCATTATGACCAACTGGTGGCCATTTTACATTTGGTGATTGGATTGAATATGGCCAGCTAAAAGCCATTTTATATTTGGTGGCTGTATTGAATATGACTAACTGGTGGCCATTTTACATTTTGTGATCGCATCAAATATATCAAGCTGATGGCCATTATACATGTACATTTGGTGACTATATCAAGTATGACAAGCTGTCATTTTACATTTGGTGATCAAATTGAATATAACAAACTGGTGAATATTTTACATTTGGCTATTTTATTCATTATGACCAACTTATGACCAACTTTTGTGATCGCAGCAAATATAAATATCAAGTATGACCAGCTGGTAATTTTTAATTTGGTGATCATATTGAATGTGACCAGCTGGTGGCTATTTTACGTTTTATGATAATGTTAAAAATGACCAGCTGGTGGCTATTTCACATTTAGTGATTGTATTAAGTATGACCAGCTGGTCATTTTATATTTGGTGATCATATTAAATATGACCAACTGGTGGCTGTTTTACATTTAGTAATGATTTTGAATATAACCAGCTGGTTGCCATTTTACATTTGGCTATCATATTCAATATGACTTGGTGATCATATAGAATAGGAGCCACTGGTGGCAAATTCATTCAGTTCTTGCAAACATTCATTCAGAATGCATGTTTTGGTCAACTACACTTTAGGGCTGTTTGTACACAATATATGGCTTTTACCTTTTGAAATTAACACATGCATTGCGAGTATTTTAATGTATAACAGAAGTACAATTTAACTAATAGTGAAGGAAATTAACTTTGATATTTTTTGGTTATTATTTTGTCATCTTCAGATATGTTGTATCTTGCAGATAACTGTGGCTGTCAAAATGGTGGAAGATGTATCGAGAAGTTTGGAACAACATACTGTTTTTGCACTCTCGGATTTGTCGGGGAACAGTGTGAAATAGGTAAATTTTACCTAATTGTCATTTTTTTTAGTGATCTCTGTGTAAGAAAATAAATTCTTGTTCATTGGCCCATATTTAAGTTGAGAATTCTACATTATCATGGTGCGTAGAGCTCATGTGAAATTTGTGATCAATGTATTCAAACGCATCAATTATTATATCTTACTTACTTATTACTACATTTAACATCGATATTTGATGCAATAATAGTAACATGGCAGTGATTCTGTGTCAGTTGTGTCTCTTCCACCACTCATAAGATAACACAAGTGATTTGACCCAAATTATCTTATAGGAAAGTAACAAAAATTAATTACTTACAATTTAATATTCATTTTATTTTGTCATTCTAGCTGTGCCTGGGACTGCAGCGCCTGGTAAGCAGTAAAATTTCAGCATTTCTACACTTAGTCTGTAGTATGTATCACAAGTCAACTTATTGTACATCATAGTCTATGCTGTATGTCTTAATTCTATATGTCATAATATGTGCTGTAGTATGTGTCAACTCTGTATGTCATAATCTATGCTGTAGTATTGTCAACTCTGTATGTCATAATCTATGCTGTAGTATGTGTCAACTCTGTATGTCATAATCTATGCTGTAGTATGTGTCAACTCTGTATGTCATAATCTGTGCTGTAGTATGTGTCAACTCTGTATGTCATAATCTGTGCTGTAGTATGTGTCAACTCTGTATGTCATAATCTATGCTGTAGTATGTGTCAACTCTGTATGTCATAATCTATGCTGTAGTATGTGTCAACTCTGTATGTCATAATCTATGCTGTAGTATGTGTCAACTCTGTATGTCATAATCTGTGCTGTAGTATGTGTCAACTCTGTATGTCATAATCTGTGCTGTAGTATGTGTCAACTCTGTATGTCATAATCTATGCTGTAGTATGTGTCAACTCTGTATGTCATAATCTATGCTGTAGTATGTGTCAACTCTGTATGTCATAATCTATGCTGTAGTATGTGTCAACTCTGTATGTCATAATCTATGCTGTAGTATGTGTCAACTCTGTATGTCATAATCTATGCTGTAGTATGTGTCAACTCTGTATGTCATAATCTGTGCTGTAGTAT